ATAGACTATAGCAAATAAATATTACACAAAATGACGTAAATGTAGTATGCATATTCTATACATAGAATATATAGAATATATATAGAATGAAAAAATATATGAAATAATGTAAATGCACAAATTATGAAGTCATAGTTATAAAAGATTTAATCTATTATAATACAAAATGACATAAATGTAGTAAAAACTGCTATACATAGAACATATAGAATATTATATATAGAATAAAAAATGTATGAAATAATGTAAAGGCACAAATATATGAAGTCAGAGTTATAAAAGATTTATTGGTATAGATACACAACAGATAGGTAAAAAAATAATGTGTTGCAAAAATGTGAAGTTTGTACAAACAAAATAAAATTTATTAAAAAAAGAAAACAGTAAAATAACTTTATACATACTTACAACGTTAATATCTGCATCTTTTTAACTTATAGGAATTTAATGACCTACATGTAGAAGCTCTTGGAGTTGTGGCAAATTGTCTTGAGGATGTGGATACTATGCAACTGATCCAGGAGACAGGTGGTCTCAGAAAGCTACTGGCCTTTACTGAAGTTTCCACTCTAACTGAGTTTCAGAAGAATGCCGCAAAAGCTATTGCTAAAGCAGCCGCTGATCGTACGTCATTACAGAAATTCCTGTGTCTTGAAAACAGCCTTTTAAAAAACTTAATAATTTGATCAAGTGTCCTAAAATAAGGAGGCTACATCTTCTACATCTTATTAGCTCTACAAGGCAGTGATATACAGTACATTTTGATAAGACTGCAAGCATACTCTGTCATCCCAGGTTAGCACAAGATAGTTTTGATGCCTGAGATTACTATTCTGTAGATGAGGGAGAAATGCTACAATACCCAAATGCTGGGTAAGATATTCTAGTACCTGCTAAGAATATTTTTTTCAATTTCTCTCCTTGGAGTCAAAGTTCATAAGGCATCAAACCAGTTGTTTTAGAGCAGTGTTTTTCAACCTTTTTTGTGCAAAGGCACACTTTTTTCATGAAAAAAATCACGAGACACACCACCATTAGAAAATGTTAAAAAAATTTAACTCTGTGCCTATATTGACTATATATAAAGTAATTCCGAAGGAGACGCGCCACTGGTAACACTTACCAAGTTGACAGCGCGCGTTCTCCTCGCTGCTCCGGTCCTCCGCGATT